TGTGGGAGCCCTTCCACAGCCAGTGGTGGTGTGGCGGCTGGGAAGGCGGGGAGGGCTAGAGCCTACTGCTGGGCCTCTCCACTGGGGCCCACCGGGCTCCGGGGTTCTGGCTGTCAACACAGCAACACTGAGGCGGCTTGGGGCCTGTACCACCATATTCTCACAACAAAATCCTCCAAGACCTCGCCCTGCTGGGTCTATCTGGGCCTCGGGTTTCTTTAGCCTAGACTTTGTCTCCATAACTCTCTGCACGGCTGGACACTGCCTAAGGAGCTCCTGAAATCCTGGGTCTCAGGCACCCGCCCCTCGCATGGCCCTCAGGGTCTGCCTTGCTCTGTACCTGAGGCTGTGCTGAGGGGCTGGCAGGTACACCTCGCCCCTTGCCCGCCTCAGTCGTCCACCCAAAGGACACGTGGCAGCTATGCTTCTCATCAAAACCAGACCAAAACAAACAGAATAGCCCCTGGTACACGACGTGCACACACAAGTGCACACACAATGTACGTGCACACACACATTATTTCTTTGGCCTGCTCTTTCTCCCTGTCCCCTCTCTCCCCCTCCAGTTTCCCAGAGCTAAAAGGTAAAATGTTTCAACACAAAATTTGAAAAAGACTTGAAAATGCCCAAGGTTAGCTATGAGGTTCTGTGTGAGGCACCCCAGGTCTGGTCACTGGGGGATTCTTCTGGAGTCAGAAGTTCTCTCAAGCATCCCCCTCCCATCAGGGTTTTCGGGTTGGGCAAATCTTCGGACACCAAAGTGAACACGAGGGTGTGTTTAGGTCTGAGGCTGCCGCAGCCTGGTTCTGCCTGAGCTATTGCTAATGACCGGCCACCCTCGGAAACGCGTGGTGGAAGACCGAAGCCATCACATCACTGAAACTCCGAGTACCATTTCTAAGCAATGAGAACAACAGTTTTGCAAAACCTGTCACTACTCACCTCATGAATTAGACACTTGTCTATGAGCTGTAAATAGGAACTTATGTTTTCCTCATCAGGTCTGGAGACCAGGAGCTGTGTGCACACTGTGAATGAAAAGACAAGATGAATTAGGAAAATGCACGCCCATTCTAACCTCTGAGGTCTGCCTCTGATTTCCTTTCAGGACCAGGATGCCGAGAGGTCTGTGTGCCTGTGGCTGTGCGTCAGGTTCACAAAAAAGGCCAGGAGGCTCCTCATTCCACTGAAGTCAAAGGCTCAGTCACCACGGAGCCTGCCTGGAGGAGCCCCTTGGGTTAATTCCAGTCATACCATTCTATATTAAGCCTTTGCAGTGGAGCCTGGAGCTGGAGACAGACACTTTGAGAGGGAGAACAGCAGTACCCCAGCTCGGTCTTTGAAGGTGGCCCTGTGCCAGGGGACTTCAATGGCATGAAAGACCCCCGGTGCCATCCAAGTGCAGCCTCTGTCGTTTTGTGAATGAATGCACTCCTCCTGCCAGTTGACGAGGCAGCGGCGTTTGTGTTTGGAGGAGCGAGGCTGGCACCCTCTTTCAGGCGGTGAGCTGTGTGGGTGTGCACAGGAGTCTGGAGCCTGCTACTCCGTCATCGGAGGGGTACTTTCTCAAAGTGATATGCATATTTATACCCAGACGCGGTTTCACCTACACGCTCGGTGAGTGCCAAGACAGACGGAGCAGTTAGTCTGCAGGTGGAGCGTGCACACGCCCCATTTCTCACGGCTGGGTTAGGGTAGCCCACTCGGCTCGTCACTGAGGCCGTGGTGCTCTGCTCTGGTGGCAGTGTTTCCAAGGGTATGGTGAAGGTGGTGAGGCCGGAGAAGTCAGCCAGAGAGAGAAAACGTCTTAGCACTCAAGTAGATCAGGCACAAAACTTGGACATCACATTTGATGTCTTCCTGTCCCTAACCCTGCATAACCACTCTGCCTCAGAATTCACATACATTTTTCAGTATGCTGTTATGTAGAATATGTATTACTTAGGATACATGGTAATTGCCAAAAAACCCCCAAAAAACAAACAAAAACCAAACCCACAAGCTATTAGCATGAGAGCATTGCATACAGTGGATCAACCCTGGGGGAGTGTGTAAATATAGGCACTGGAGACTGCAAATAATAAAAACTTAAGAGACCACCTCCATGTCCCCTAATGGGGACCCCATTAAATAAATTATGGCTTATGCATGTAATTAGATATTATATATCATGGCTTAGGCACACAGTCGGATAGTATATAACCTTAAAAAAGAATGAGACAGCGTTATTTGTATTGAGGGACATAAACATCTATAATTAAAAAAAATCAAACACCTGCTAAACCGCAGAGAAGAACGTAAGATCTGTATGTGTGTAAATACATTTATGTGCTTGCACAAGAGGACTTCAAAAAGCTCAGTGGAAGAATGAAATTAAAGTATGAATTTATCTGAGTGCAAGAAAGGACAAAATCCTATGTATTTCCCATGAGCTTTTCGAAGGTCCCTGCTAACAGCTCATGAAAAGATGGCCCTCCCTGGGGAGGAAGGTGGCGGGAGAGGACCCTGTGTCTCCTGAACAAGAACTGGGTTGATCATTTCTTTTAAAGTACTTAAATCTGAAGAAGTGCCAGAGAAGTATGGGTCTCCCAAGGGCTAAGCTTACTGTGGAGCTCCTCGTGGGCCATCCGACGTCAACACAGCAAATGGGGGCTCTGGGGCGGGGGGAGAGTGGGGAAGTGAGTGGCAGAGGAGAAGCCCACCTAGCCATCCAGCTCTAACGGAAGCTATGCAACATCTTCTGAACCAGATTTCTATGGAGTTAAGTCTTTTCTTTTCTTTTTTTTTTTTTTTTTTTAAGTCAGAGGGCATTTCTCATCACAACTATACGGCTCAGGTGTCCATTTCTTTTGGTAAAACTTGGTTCTTTTGAATGCTCTGAAAGATTGGACAATAAAGGAGAAAAAGCTGCCTTTCCTTCCCAGGGGAAAATGTGCTGGCGTTGACATTACTTTACATTTTTTTAGATTAAGATTTCTCATGGAATATCCCAAGCTATTCTGATGTTGGGCGTCTTCAAGGCTGTGGATAGACATAGAGTTGAGCCATGGGAAGGCAGAAGGCAGTCCAGGCAATCGGGGGCTCTGACCCACAGGACCATGCTGTGAATTGTCTCCTGCCCTAAAGACACGCATGACACAGGATGGCCCCATGGCACACTCAGACTGTCTGTGGCAAGGCCTAACTTTAACTCCTGGGGTCAACCCTTGATTTGTGCCACAGATACCAAGTAGCCACCACAGGCCAGACGCTGCAACAAATGGGGCATCTGGGTGGCTGTAGACAGTGACAAGTGGCCTGACAGTCTGCAGACTACTGGGGATAGAGTCAAACAGACAACCATGATCTAAGACAAGGGGAGTAAAGGGGGTGATGGGGCAAGAGAAAGGAGTCTCTCACCCAACCTAGTAGATCAGGGAGCCTTCCTGGAACACACGGGGCCTCAGCTGAGACTTGGAAGACAAGAGGACAGGACCCAAGTGAAGAGAAGGGGGTCAAGGAGAGAGTGTTTCAGGCAAAGGTGACATGTATGGATGTGCAGCTTGTGCACTGCACAAACATACTCCCGAGTGAGTGCTTGCTGTCTACAGCCACCCAGACAGCGTGCAGCTTTCGAATTCATGTCAGGGCTTCATACGGGCGCGTAGGGGCCCAAGTTCTAGGCACAGGGAATGTATGCACAAAGGCGCAGAAGCAAGAAATATGTAACTTTTGGGACCAGCAGTTGGTGTAATGGCTATGTCGCTGGACCCCCATGTAATCGATTGCCGTTTGAGTCCCAGACCCAGTGGCTTAAACTCATGCCAGGCGCATGTGCATGCATACCCAAGATCCCAAGAGGAGCATGGAGGAGAAGGGATTGCGGCATGGCCATCTGCCCTTGTGGGTGATTTCCCACTTTCTGTCTCTCTGTCTTTCTGGCAAGCGCACATGACCTATAGCAAAAAAAAAGAAAAACCTCTAAAGAAAAAAAAAAGGAAATTTGTAACGTTGGAGAACTCAAAGATATAAAGTCTGCCTGAAGGGTAGAATGGAGGTGGTGAGGACACCAGAGGTGGCAAGGAGGAGACAGATGAAAAGTGACTCTTCAGGTTTAGATTTTATCAACTAGGAGCAAAGGGGAGCCTTCATGTGGAATTTAACCTCTCTCGATCTTGAGCTTATACGACGACGCCATGGTAGCCGTGTGGATGGTGAGGGTCCTGCAGCATTCAGACCTCAGCCTTGCCACCGGCTATGGATGCTTGGGCGGCTGCGTGGCCAGTGTGCCTAGGTTTCTCCCTCTATAAAGTGGGAGTAATTAGAGGGTTGAGTCAGCCTATTGCTCAAGCACTGTGCCCCGTATGTAGTAATTGCCCCCAAAAAATTGCCCCCCAAGCTACAAGCACAGGAGCATTCCATAAGGTGGATCGACCCTGGGCGAGAGGGTGAGTGTAGATGCTGGAGACTGTGAGCGAGTCAGCTCCGTGCTGAGGCTTCTCCATACATGACTACGTCGGAAGACGCTTTCAGTGGGGAGGGACGAGGCCTGGCTACCTCCTGCGTGGGAGATGCTTGGGCTCTGGACCAAAGGCATTGGTGCCATTTCAGGTGTTCACTCCTCCTCTGCCACCTTTGCTTTAAGGAGGGAATCAGCCAATGAATGAGTGGTTTGTCCCTGCAATCGTCTTTTACAGAGTTCATCCCACCTTCCTCCCTCGAGGCTTCACGGCCCAGTGAGCACACTCAGGGAAGGGCCCAGTGTCCCCTGGGTCTGTGGGAGTCAGAAAGGAGACAGGCTATGGAGGAGGGCTTGGCAGAGGTTCAGAGAGACTGAGGTTCAACGTGAATGCTTCATCTCTCTGAGCCACACTTTCCTCATCTGTCAAATGGAGCTGATGTCTCCTCTGCTGGGTGCCGGGTGGCTCTTCTGGCCCTCAGGTAGGGCCTCAGGACCCTGGTTAGTGGTATTAGAGAGAAGAAAAGGGGGAAGCAGAAAATCAATTCTACCTTTTCCCATCACGCGGGTGAACTGTCCAGGGAGGTCTCCCTCGGGCAGGGGGGCCACGGCCAGCTCTCCATCACAGCTGCTCAGCTGGTGTGGCTGGAGCCCACCGCTGGCCCCGGCTGGCGGGGTGGCCGTGGCACCAGTGGCTGCAGTGCTGTCTTTGCAGTCGAGGCTCTGGTTCTCAGGGCCCATCAGAGAGGGTGGGTGCGAGGCCGGGGGCTCCCTGCGATGAGCCTCGGGGGTGGTGCTCGGGGAGCTGTAGGCCTTGATGGGCGTCAGGATCATCTGGTGCAGTTCCTGGAGCGGGATGCGCAGGCTGCCTCCCTCGATGATGTCCTGGAGGTCAGAAGAGAGCTCCGTCAGGGTCGGGATGGGCCGCCCACCTCCATGCTGCCTTTCCCTCTGCGAGCTGTTCCCTGACAGCAGAAATGGCTGCTCGCCTCGCTGCCAGAACGTTCTTTGGAAAATAGGTTTTATCATTCTAATATTAGCCCAGGGAGAAAACTTGAAATATACAGAAACGGAAAGTATACATCCCCTGAAACCCCCCTGCCCCAAGGATGAGCACTGACACGGTTTCGGCACACTGTCTCTCCTGGCTTCCACAGTGCACTTCTCTTTCTTTTCTTTTTAATTTGCCAGAGGGCATGTGTACTTGCCAGAGAGAGACAGAGGCAGAGACAGAGACAGAGAGAGTATACCTCCCAGGGGGAAGGTCATGCTGCAATCCCTCCTTCTTCATCTCTCCATTTGGGATTTTGGATACACACACACACACACACACACACACACACACACACACACACATACCCTGGGTGTGTTTCAAGCCACCAGGTCTGGGACTTGAACTGTGTAGTTGGCTCTGTGGAATCCAGCAGCTTAACCACCAGGCCACTGCTAGTCTTCCTCAGTGCATTTGCATAAAATGCATTCATGTACTTTTACATCCACACACTTTCTAAGTACATAACACAGCTGGGTCATATGGTGGCTTGGTCCTGTCTGATTCGCTCCGGGTGAGGGGACCAGTTTCACTCAGCCTGTGAAGCAAGCAGCGTCGTG